AACCTATCTCCCACAATGTCTCGCACCGTCCCTACTTCTCTTTTCCTCCCTTCTCCATGCTAGAATTCTTGTATCTTAGCTGCCAGATAGTTGAATCCAAGATGTCTGTTTGAGCTTATTACATTATAAGCTTATATAATTCTTATTTATCTATATTTAATATGCTTATCTTAGTTATAGTCTTCTTTCTATTCTTATCTTTAATATATTCTTTCTACTTAGGCACCTCCTATTCTTCTACTAGTGTAGCTATATTATCTAGATTAATATATTTCTAGATATTTTATTATTTAGTAGCTAGTTTAAGGTGCTAGAGCTATATATAGTAGTTCTCTCTTAATATTAGTATAAGTACTACCTTATTAATAGTAGTATTATCTTCTATAGTTTATATCTTACTGCTAAAAAGTAGTCTCTTAGATTATTCTTTACTACTAAGAAGCAGCCTTAATAGATTATTAATCTCTTACTACTTAGAAGCAGCCTCTTAGATTAATCTAATTATATAGTTTCTTCTAATTTAACCTAAGATCTTAGGGAAGGGAGTGTATCCCTTAAATTATATAAAAAATAATAATATTCTAATATCTCTAGCAGTCTGGGCTTATAACTATTAGATTATATATAATATAATAATATAATTATACTAGTAATCTAAGTATATAGAGGTTAAACTAGGATATATTTATGCTATATCTATAAATATCTGTGATTTTCTATGTAAGGAGCAATAAGACTAGAAGTTATATATATTCTGGTTAACTAAGTCTAACTAGAATAGGCAAAATAAGTAAGTGTAAAATATATAATCTAGTACAAAAGATACAGTGCTTCGACACATCTAAAGGTCACTCCAAGTACGCAATGGGCTTCCTAAGACCATGGAGGAGCGATCGTGGACTCAACAAGCTATCGACAGGTTCTTCAAGACCCGTGAATCTCCAACTCAATCAGAGTGTGATGACCATGCCCGTAAGATCTCTGGTGCCTCCGCAGTCCAGGAAATTGCCGTTCCGGGCTCGCTGAGCTACACGGTCCGTTGCATAAATTTTCCAGACGAACGGCGGGATCTGGTCGTGTCTTTTCGACAACCCGAGTCCACCCTGGATCAAGCTGTCATCAAGCTGGCAAGATCTATCCACGGCGCATTAGTGCCGGAAGCTACCTTCCATGGCAAAATGCCTGATTCCAACCCGCCTCTTCTCGTCTACACGATGCCCTATTTGCCAGGCATTCCTTGCCTAGAGGCACTCGGCAGCAAAGCTGAGTTGAGCCTCGAAGAAGAGGGTAGACATATATGTTTTGCCAAGCATCTAGCCAGGTAGCTCGTCTTTTCTTTTTCCTTCCTTTTTAGATAATATAACAAGAAGGCATATTGATAATCCTCTCCAGGTACTTTGCTCGGTGTTGGTTAAACCCACAACCGGTTGACCCTGAAGTGCAAGCAGATTGCCAGGACAGAGTCTATCACCGACTCATGAAAATAAAGAATTCATCACCCTCCATACTTCCCTGCACGACAATCATCGAACTGGAACGCAGCCTCCCAATTCTCTTCAGACAAACATACCCGCAAGTTCTCACACACAATGACCTTTCTCAAACAAACATCCTGATCAACAAGGAGACTTTTGAGATCACAGGTGTTGTCGATTGGTCCTTAGCCAGAGTGCTGCCGTTTGGCATGGAACTGGACACTCTTCTATTAGCAACTGGCTACATGGACCTCAGCGGCTGGCACAATTACACATGCCGCCTGCAAATGCTTAATGCTTTTTGGGATGAGTTCTGGATTCAATGCCAAGTTTACGATGATGTACACCAGCGGGAGATCCGTGCTTCTGCGATGCAGGCCACCAAAATCGGCGCAGTGCTGCACTACGCGTTCCAGCGTAACGCCGATGGCTCCCCATCCGAGGAGCTGACGACTTCTAAATGGGCATTGAAAACGCTGAACGCTTTGCTTTTGGACCAATCGTTATAGGAAGTACCCGGGTGGGTAGCCGGAATACTGCTTCGGATGCGAAGTATTGATTCGTCATGCGTCCGGGCTTGTTATCTGTGTGTTGGGTGCGAGCTTGAGTATTGAATCGGGGCGAAAACGTTTTATCCGTTCCGGCATTGGACAAACCTTTTACACCTCACCGAAGTTCTGAAGTAATAAGTACCGAGAGATGCCAGGGTCTGGTATTCAAAGTTCTTCGGCACATCTAGCATTTCTGGCAATCTGAGACTGGCACTGCACCGAAAATTTCATTCCAACGTTACATATAATTCTATGAACTCCAAACCCCAATGAGCCATCATCCTCACCGAATCCAAAACGAGATTCGAAGTGTCCTTCAGCTGCCATAGGTTTGTTCGGGGAGGAAGTCATTATGACAAGTGGGAAGTTCCCTCTTCGAGACTGCCGCTCCTACCATCTCCATCAATCAGGAGCGAAATAAGCACACTTGGGAACTTTTTGCACGAGTAGAAAAATATGTCTCTCTCAAACTCCCAGGTGGAACTTGCTATCGTGGAGCAGGCGGTCTGCCCATATGGCCCTGTACAGTCATCGTTCTACAATTACGCATCCTACTATATAGTAATTCAAGACAAAGACAGAAGGGCACATAGGAAAAATATCCTCTGTATTAATGTACTCTATTCTTGAGGGTTGAACTCTAAAATACTTGAATAGAGCCCTAGCTCCGGCCTGGAAACTAGTCTGAAAATAACCTTGTCACCTCTGACTAAGGTCATTTCTCATCCCTTCTCAGCCTTACTAGAAGGTCCATCTCTTCAGACGACCACGGCATGCCTTTCCGGGAGGTCCCATGAAGCTTAGTGGAATCAGCTGGCTAGTCTAAGTAATCTTCCAGCTGTGCTATGCCTTCAGACACTTTTAGATCAGATTCTGATATGCAACATGGTAGTGCGCCTTCGAACAGCCAGGAAAGAAACTATAAGTGTTCATCTAATGATATAGATATGAAGTGAGAACGAAGCGTTGGAAAAGAATTTCTCTTTGGGGCGGTTGTAGAGGACCTCTGACCCATTTGCATGGTTGTGGTTGTCCATACGACTGTTGCAACTTTTGCTTGCAGGATTTAGACTGTTGGAAGCTGTTGGTGACCTTAATGGAGGTGCTGGACGAATGAATGTGGGCTTCAGAGTTGTTATAGTCGGTGGATACTTACAGGTGAGACTGGTTGTGTGACAGGCTATCTGACCGCGAATTTGCCTCCTGTGGCTCAGGCTGTGCGTTGGAGTGTCGGTACTGGAAAGATGTGTCGCATAGAACAGGTGGAGGGTCAGGATACGGACAAATCGTCTCCGAGATAATCAAATTGTCATCTGGATGAATACGCTGGTGTGCATCTTCCATCTCCCAGCGTCCATTATCAGTGAGGATCACAGGGTCAACCGGAATGCCATTTTGTTCATCTGCCGGCTGGAGAAACACTTCCAAACTCTCATTCAAGCTGGATACACTGGGTGACAACGTATATTTTGCGGCATTCTCTGGAAAAAATGGTGCCTTAATTGATATATTGATGGTATCCTGAACATCCTGCGATGTGACTGAATCTGGATTTAGTAATCAACTAGCCCTGTCTCTTAGAGACTATTCTAGCTACTCTGTGTGTTATATATTAGATAGCATGTTAGGTATTGTGATAGAGAGCAGTCTAGATGACTTCTGGGATGGAGACTAAGGGCCCTAGAATGTGCCAGATGGGGCTATAGTACTTATATAAATATAAACCTTAGCTAGTGGCTGTATGGGGTGCCTAAGGAAGTTTAATGGCAGGGGAGTTGTTAGAGGGGGGCTGACACATAAGTCCATAGAAATCGGCCCACGGAATCAACTTCCATCCCGAGTCAGCAATTAATCAAGAAATAGTTACCCATTATTGCATCATTCCGTGGGTCAGACCCCGTCCACGGCCGCCAGGTTCGGTCCGGCTTTGGTGAAACGGCACCATTCCAGGGTCAATTGCGCATCCATTGCAGCTATCAGACCTATTATCCGGAATAAAGTCAGGTCTTGGTGTATGTCAAGCCAGGATAAGACTGTAGTGGGTCTTGGCTGGTCCGATCTCGATATCATTATCGTGATTGGTATAGAAACAGAGTAATCTCGGTGAATCTATACTCAACTTCATCTAGAGCAAATGACGTGGTCTGCTCCATTACGATAACATAAATACTATCAACCTACAGTACCTACTGCTTCAAAACAAGCACACAAAATGGCAAACCCCACCCCACACACCTACGGAAACGAAGTCTTCGCCAACGGCCTCCAAAACATCAAACCCCCAATCAGCTTCTACCCATACGACTGGGAATCCCACGCCAAGGAGGTCTTGTCTGCCAACAGCTACGGCTACCTCCGGGGCTCCGCCGGCCTCCGCGAAACAGACGACAACAACCGCGCCGCCTTCCGCAAATGGGCCATCATCCCCTCACGGCTCGTCAAGGCCGACTTCCCCAGCCTCAAGACCACGGTGCTGGGCCAGGAATACGACTACCCGATTGCGATCGCGCCGATCGGCGTGCAGCGCATCTTCCACCGCGACGGGGAGGTGGCGGCCGCGTCGGCGGCGCGCAGGGAGCACGTCCCGTATATCCTGAGCACGGCTTCGTCGACGAGTATCGAGGAGGTGGCGGCGGCGAGCGGGGATGGGGCCCGCTGGTACCAGCTTTACTGGCCGTCTAACGAAAACAATGAGATCACGGTTAGTTTGCTGGAGAGGGCGAAGAGGGCCGGGTATCGCGTGCTGGTCGTCACGCTCGACACGTATATCCTTGGCTGGCGGCCGTCGGATCTGAACAATGGGTATAGCCCCTTCCTGCGGGCGGACAGGAACGGCGTCGAACTGGGGTTTTCGGATCCTGCGTTCCGGCGACGGTTCCTTGAGAGGCACGGGGTGCAGGTGGAGGAGGATCTGGGCGCGGCGGCGGCGGAGTGGGCGCATACGATCTTCCCTGGCATGAGTCACTCGTGGGAGGATCTCAAGTTCCTGCAGCGGCATTGGGACGGTCCGATGGTGCTGAAAGGCATCCAGAGCGTGGCGGATGCGCGGCGCGCGGTAGAGGTCGGCGTCCAGGGGATTGTGGTATCGAACCATGGAGGCCGGCAGCAGGATGGGGGGATCGGGTCCCTCGATGTGTTGCCGGAGATTGTGGACGCGGTGGGCGACCAGCTGGACGTCTTGTTTGATTCTGGTGTCCGGGGTGGTGCCGATGTCGCCAAAGCGCTGGCGCTCGGGGCGAAGATGGTGCTGATCGGGCGGCCGTATGCGTATGGACTGGCGATTGCGGGTGAGGCCGGTGTCTCGCATGTCCTGCGAAGTATCCTTGGGGATCTGGAGCTCAGTCTGCACCTGTCGGGGATTCAATCGGTGTCTCCTCGGCATCTCAATCGGTCAGTCTTGCGCCGAGTGAGGTAGTGAAGCTGCTGGCCTGTTGTTCGAGAGATTCTAGCCGAAAGATATATATATATTGCGTTGCTGTCGACAAGGGTTGAGAAGTCATCAAGTGGAGAAATATATTAGAGTCCATGTGTTAGACTGTCACAGGATAAATGCTTCAGAATATCAACATCAACAGAGCTGGACCAGCAGAGGCATTCTTAGCTAGAAGTACGTAGTACTATTCGATTGATATTGGCAACCATCAAGGTAAGCGTGTAAAGATATATTATAAAACACCTCTACTCATCAACAAGAGCGGGTTGTGTAGTGTAATGGTTATCACTCCAGATTCTGATTCTGGCAATCTTGGTTCGATTCCGAGCACGACCTTTCTTTTCTTTTCTTTTTCGCTTTTCCTTTTTCACATATGTATCATTCGATCACTCCCCATATTTCTCTTCTTGCCCAATTGTCTATGTTCTCTTTTTTTTTTTTTTTCAACTTCCTGGCCTAGTAGAGCGAGTGAATAATACGATTTACTGTCAGAGATGCAGCTTAATGCTTATATAGTGGGCCTCAAGCTCCACCTCCCATACGGCGCAGTAGATAAAGTGAGATAGCAAGGTTACAAGCTAAGATCATGAAAAGGGAAAAGGAAATGATATCCTAAACTCGATTGTTGTTGCATCTCTATGACCAAAGTCTATAGTGGTGAGGTCATCGAACCCGGTCAATCCACGTCATAAAAAGAGACCTGACCAACCCTCACAAGTACTTGAAGTCAGAACCCAGCTCAATTGATCATCTACGATATCACCAGAGAACAAAATGGTGCAAATCAGTCGAGTTCAAAAGCGCCCCAAAGGCCGCCATCCTAGAGAAACCGAAGTGACCGACTATGTCTATGGCACCCGGTTCGCAGCGGAAGATCTGCCGCACCATGAGATGGCAGAGCACGAGATGCCAGCGGGCGTTGCGTATCGGTTAATCAAGGATGAATTGAGTCTTGACGGGAATCCATTACTGAAGTACGTCCTCTCCTGAGAAGGTTGTGACATACTGACGGAGTACAGCCTGGCCAGCTTCGTCACCACCTACATGGTAATCATAATCAACCTTATGCGCGAAACAGAGTGTTGCTGACAGCGTACAGGAAGACGAAGCCCAGAACCTCATGACCGAGTCAATGAGCAAAAACTTCATCGACTACGAACAATACCCGCAAACAGCCAACATCCAGAACCGCTGCATCAACATGATCGCGGGCCTTCTACACGCCCCAACCTCCTCCGACGGGCCGGATATCAAAGACGCCATCGGAACATCGACCATCGGATCCTCAGAGGGTATCATGCTGGCCACGCTGGCGATGAAGAAGCGCTGGCAGAACCGCCGCAAGGCCGAGGGCAAGGACTGGATGCGCCCGAATATCGTGATGAACAGTGCGGTGCAGGTCTGCTGGGAGAAAGCAGCGCGGTATTTCGATGTCGAGGAGAAATATGTCTACTGCACGGAGACGCGGTACGTGATTGATCCCGAAGAAGCGGTCAATCTCGTGGACGAGAATACCATTGGCATTTGTGCGATCTTTGGGACCACGTACACGGGCCAGTACGAGGACGTCAAAGCCATCAACGACCTGTTGATCTGGAAGAAGATCGACTGTCCGATCCATGTGGATGCCGCCAGCGGCGGGTTCGTCGCGCCATTCGTGAATCCGGCCCTGGAATGGGACTTTCGGCTGTCCAGGGTCGCGTCGATCAACGTATCCGGTCACAAGTATGGTCTGGTAGGTACAGATCCCTGCTCTTCCAGGCGTCCCTGACAATAGATAGGTCTACCCCGGCGTGGGCTGGGTCTTCTGGCGCTCAACCGAATACCTCCCCAAGGAACTCATCTTCAATGTCAACTACCTCGGCGCCGAACAGGCAACCTTCACCCTCAACTTCTCCAAGGGCGCCTCCAACGTCATTGGGCAGTACTACCAGCTCATCCGGCTAGGTCGCCACGGCTACCGCTCCATCATGCGGAACCTGACCCGCACCGCGGACCATCTCGCCACGGAACTCCAGAAAATCGGATTCATCATCATGAGCGATGGCGCGGGCAAAGGCCTCCCGCTCGTCGCTTACCGGCTTCCACCTGATGATAGCCGGCTATGGGATGAATATGCGCTGGCGCATGTGCTCCGCCAGCGTGGGTGGGTGATACCCGCGTACACGATGGCGCCGCATAGCAACCAGCTCAAGATGATGCGGATCGTGCTGCGGGAGGACTTTAGTATGGATCGGTGCAACGTGTTGATTGAGGATATGAAGATGGCGATGAAGACGCTGGAGGAGATGGACCAGTCGATGATCGAGAATTATATTCGGTATGTGCCGTGCTCCTGATTCTACTGTATATCGGAAAGCTGACGGAGCCCTGTCTAGATATTCTGCTAGTCATCGGATTCATTCGCTGGCTGAGAAGCCCGACCACCCGGTTTACCAGGGCGAGACGCATTCGCTTCAAGGGAAAACGGGCAAGACTCATGCGGTGTGTTGATTGTTTGATGTGGTTACAGATTGTCCTGGCTAGCTGTGAAGCGTTATCGGCGCAATGACTGTTCAATTGAAGGGCAAAAGTACTTTCGATAGGTGTTATGCTCCCTGATGCGTGTCTCTCCTCGGTTTGTAATGTCAGCATGTACTCCGGACTTTGCGAATAATCGAGACCCCTTGCGTGATACTAGTCATCAAGCTACATGTCGCTCTCCGATGAAAGTGTCAGAGGCTCACTCGCTTGCTCTGGTCGTAGCTAGATAAGCTCAGAGACCGCTTCGTGCTACGAGCCAGGCCTGTAGACACCGTGACGAACTGACGGTAAACAAATCTGTAGTCCAGAACAGTCGGCTGACAGAATAAGCAGTGCGATGAATAAAGCAGAGACGCGCCCTCTATCAGAAGGATGGAAGTCCAGACGCAGCCTCGACTTTGACCATTGACAAACCCCGTTCGAAAGACGAACCTAGGAAAGCTTAGTGGAATATTGCTTGATGACAGTGCTACCGTATGTGCACTTCTACTCATATCCTTCGAAGTGAGGCATCCAAGTTACCATTCAGAAGAAATCCGACGTTTTTCACAAGTTATTCGTCCCTTTCTACTTTTCCATCCTAAGTTGCACACAAGCGCGATATGTGGATCCGGACGTAGTAGATGCAAGGGTGGGCAAAATATTGCATATGATAGATGGCATATCATATCCGACCAACTCTACGCACAATAGTCTGGCGGATCTGCAGCTAATAAAGCCTGATTTAGCCTGTTATAGAACTCTCTCGAGAAATGGAGTACAATTGGGTTTACAAGAACAACGCCAGAGTTATGGGCAATCCTGATCGACTGTAGCCGATGTTAAAGATTATATGCAGTAGTTTACGGGGCCTCTCGACGGCCATTGGAAGAGATCATAACCTTGAGACCTGAGCAGTTTAGAACGTCTGACCGCTGTGTGCTACAAAGTACGATACCCAGGAAGAAATGCCATGTTGGTCTCCAATTGGAGCTCGGCAAGACAATCAAAGACTCTGGTCAAGACCGATTCATCGAGGATCTGTACAGATCACATCAGAGATAATCCGCCATATGTTGACCAGAATGATCAACATGCCCGTCTGATTTCCTTCTTAAACTTCCGATGCTCCTCGTAGTCCGGACAGGCAGCAGGGCGAAGCATATGTCAACACCATGGAGTTGTGGACGCTACTCGGGCTGCTAGCTACCGCCAGCCATGTACAGGCCAAGGCCGTATTCGCTCATTTCATGGTAACCCCATTGCTCCCATCTTCGTATAACCCCTAACATCGACCAGGTAGCCAACGCCATCAACTTCACCCAAGAAACATGGACAAACGACATCTCCGCCGCGCAGGCCGCCCACATCGACGCCTTTGCCCTGAACATCGGCTACGGCCTGCACAACTACGAGTTGATCCTCAACGACGCCTTCACCGTCGCCCACCAGCGCAACTTCAAGATGTTCCTCTCCTTCGACATGGGCCAGGACCCCAAGTGGCCCGCCGACGAGATCGTCCAGGTAATCGACAACTACGTCACCGGCAGCGCATACTACAAGCACCACGACGACAAGCCGCTCGTCTCGACCTTCGAGGGCGGCCAGAGCGCAGACGTCTGGAATGACGTCAAGCACAACGCGCAGTCTGAGTTCTTCTTCGTCCCGGACTGGTCCTCGCTGGGCATCCAGGCCGCCTCGAGCAGCCCCGTCGTGGACGGCCTGATGAGCTGGCACGCGTGGCCCACCGGCGCGCACGACATGAACACCACGCTCGACGAGGCGTACACCGCGGCGCTAGCCGGCCGGCCGTACATCATGCCCGTCTCGCCGTGGTTCTACACCAACCTGCCCGTGTTCCACAAGAATTGGGCCTGGCGCGGCGATGATCTCTGGTACGACCGGTGGCAGCAGGTGCTCGCGCTGTCGCCCGAGTACGTGGAGATCATCACCTGGAACGACTACGGCGAGTCGCATTACATCGGCCCCATGCACGAGGACGACCTGGGGATTTTCGCCGTGGGCGATGCCCCCTTCAACTATGCCGAGGGGATGCCGCATGATGGCTGGCGGGAGTTTCTGCCGTATGTGATCGACCTGTACAAGAGCGAGGGGAAGAATGCAAGTTTGGCCAGGGAGGGGGTGGTCTCGTGGTACCGGCTCAATCCGGGGTCTGCGTGTTTGAGTGGGAAGACCACGCCGGGCCAGCAGGCGACCGAGGGGACGAACTCGTCGAGCCCCAGATCCCTCATGCAGGATAGGGTCTTCTACTCGGCGTTACTGGAGTCGGCGGCCGACGTGACGGTGAGTATTGGCGGGGCCAACAAGACGGGGAGCTGGACGGATACGCCCAGCGGACAGAAAGGGCTGTATCATGGCAGTGTGCCCATTGACGGGCAGACGGGGGAGGTCGAGGTGACCCTATCACGGTCTGGCGAGCTGATTGCCCAGATGAAGGGCCAGGCCATCACCACCGACTGCCGCAAGAATCATGGATACAACAACTGGAATGCGTGGGTGGGGAGTGCCATGGCCGAGAAGAACGTTACATCTGAAAATACTTCATCTAACAACAAGAAGAATGGCTCGCAAAGGTCGAGACCGACGATAACGTTGCTGCTGGGCATGGTATTGTTGGCGCTGGTGTGAGCATACGCAAGACCGAGTGATATCCGAGGATGACACTGATCAGTACATAATCTCCTCCTTAAGATAATTCTGTATTGATAGTAATAGATCATGAAATAATAGATGCACTTGACTCTCTCAAAGTGTACCGCAAGGTCTCCCAATCGGCAGGTGGATAACCTCACCTCACCAGGAGCAGGCTTAGGGTATCGGCCGAGCAGACCCATGGAATGCAGATACACTCAGCTACGAACCATTTCTGGCTTTCTTGTTTCTACACCGAGCACGCGGACTCCCTCGTCCATGCACATCTGCTGACAAACAAACGTCTCTGCAAATCGGACTGCTCGAGGTGACGCCTTCTGATTGACCCTTTAGAGACAATAGATGAAATCATGAAACTGGTAGAGTATCGGCGATCTGCGAAAGGCTGCAGAATACCCTCGGCTACCGACGATTGCAGAATTCAGGACAGGAAAAGCAAATGACCGGCCCCAGAGCTCGCCAAGTAAAGTGATTGCTGAAGACCATCCTGAAGGAGACACATGGCTTGGCTTGAGGATACCCACATGGCTGCGCATAGTCTGCCCTGATAGCAGCATGCCTTATCGAGTTTCAGTCTATGACACCATCTACATCCGCCACCCGGACAGCACCGAACTTCGTTTCACCACCGCTTACCATCCCGGGTGTGTTTGGTATAGATGAAGTTTGCCAACCGTTGATGAGCCTTGGGCCCTCTCCAGCCGAGAGGACAGCCAGAGTTTCATGCCCCTTGCTTTCGAGGCAATCATTGTGCTCCTCCGCTTCGGCCGAACGCGGCCAAGGTGATCAATTCCATTGAGTAGACATGTGCGAGCTCTATAGCTTCAAGCTCAGCCGTAGCCCTGATGCTTAAGTATAAGTATCCCCTTGTCCCTGAGAATCAAGAAGGAAACGACATCTCATCAATACACTTGCCACGGCCTCATACTCTCTGTTAGTCCGGTCAACATGTCCGGGTCCCTCGAGACCCTACCGACTGCTTCCATTCTACTCCGGCATGCCTCTCGTCCAAACCCTCGGATTCCTCCCATAGCCCGGCAGAGCGTCTCCATACTCCCCTGTCGCATCGCCATCATTTCACGCGACAAACTCAAGAAAGAAGCATCTACCAAGAACCCCGATCTGCGCCGATGTGTCGCACACAACAGTCTCCTCCGGCGATCCATGGAGGAAGCACACAACAATATCCGCAACCGCATGGCTCCATTTCGCTTCGAGGACGACGATGATGACAGTCCGGACATGACTACTCAGAGCCCTAGCGAGAGCTTCCCCTCCATCATCCGAAGCACAATCACCACCGCTGTGAAAGCTATGGTGCATCGACGACGGTCAGCTTGTCGACGGCCGACTCTCATGAGGGTCTTGTCCTGATGGCGTCGAACGGGCACACTACCTCTACTCAGGGACCGGGTGGAAAGGCGCCTATCAATAATTATCGTCGCTACTACGCTGCCAGGTTCGTCTCTGGTCGGAAACTGTGCTCTCCTGCGGGATATACAATGCATGCCCGCGTTGCGGGTTGATGACATCACCACTTGATGCTATCGGCTTGGTCATCTCAACATATCAGAGCATTTTGACGGGATGATCTTTGTCCAGAGTCATATTCTACATGCCGATAATATCCTCCCTGACCACCTTCGCTCCTTGCCGGTCAGTTGGTGCTCTAGACGAATTACGAAGACACGCTGTGACGATCCTTTCTTACCTTGCTTGTACATATATCTCGGCTGTACAGAGGCATACATTAATTGAACAGAATATGACAGATGTGGCTGTTCTTCCGCTGCATATTGTAGTCAACAAGTCTTTCTTATGATCCATACTGGTCAAGTCCGCATAGTGATATATAGAGGTCACCTCAACCATATTACAGCACCAGCAAGTTTTCCAAAGATATTTACAACGGTATATTGAAATCCTATGTTTTCTCCAGAGGAGAGAGAGAGGTCAAAAAGAATAAATAAGACGAAAGAAAGAGAAAAAAAATGGTCCCTACGAGGGTCGAACTCGCGACCTTGGCGTTATTAGCACCACGCTCTAACCGACTGAGCTAAAGGACCGTTTGTTGAATATCTGCCCGTTTTAATAATATATAAGCATAATATTCTCGCGCCAGCCTAGGGGTATCTGATTCCTTAAATTGAATACGGAGTATTCACATTTCTCGAGTTGCTTCCTCATTAGCATGGTCTGCTGTCCTTGTTGCTGCTTCATTGCTATCACCAAGGAAGGGAAACTATTAAGGTAATATAAGGTTAGGTTGCTAGTTATGTGTATATATCGTCTTCAATATCCCTCTGAGTTAGAAGCACTTGGCCATTACATATTGATTGACGCGTCAGACTGACTACTACAGGATTTTTAATCCATTGACTGACCTATTTGGATGGTATAGGATTAGCTACCCTAGACTGGTACGTAGAATGTATGGCAAGAAATGACAGTGGCTCATGCTGGCCTTTAAGCTGGCATTCACTATTTCAATACTCTCTGAGTGAATCTATGATTCTTGTCACCCTAGACCTGTTATTGACGGCAAGTTCCTGATAACAGCTATCTAAAGCACAGATATCTCCTTGTTCCAGTGTTTAATAAAGTGAATAATAAGGGGACAATGAGGTATATCAACCCCGGAGCTGGTCGAGGGCTTCTGCATCTTACCTTCTGCAACCATCTGGGCCACCAAGCTACATCCTTCTTCAAACTACGTCAAAGCTGTTACACGTTGAGTTTGCAAGCAGATTTCTTCCTCTCTACAGCTGCCAGGACTCTTCCACCTCGAATCTACGACAGATACCTCATCGCAATGATCTTCAGCAAGATCGAGAACAAGCTTGAACAAGCCGGACACCTCAAGACTGCCCAGCTCATCCGCCTGCTGGAACATTACGCTCAGTTCCAGCGTTTCCACTCCAAATACTGGGTCCATCAGGCACTCCGCCTGGACTATAAGATCCGAGAGACCGTACAGCGCGAAATCCACATTAAAAGCCTGTACGAATCCTACAACCAGTCTGGAAGACACCACCCCCTAACAGACGCGGAGTTCGAGATGGTCCACATCTGGCAGGATGAGCTGGACGACCTGGACAAAACCTACTGGTGTCTCACTCGCGAGCTGAACTGGATTACCAGTACGCAGTTCCAGGGCCCGCTGAAGAGGGCGTACGCCGCGCACCACAGCAACCCCAGCTGGTACTTGTCTGCGAACCATCGCAGGGAGTGTGCGGAGCGAGGTGGCTGTTGTGCGAGAGACTGTGGGTGCTGCGGCAAGCCTCGAGAGACGGAACGGTTCTTTAAACTCGGACACTGCACTGAGGAGTGTCCTTGTTGCAGAAAGGAGTTCGGGGAGAAGAGGCTCTCTTTGCGAGCGAGGGCGGATATTGATTTCGAGAGAATTGGGTTCAAAATGGAGAGGGCGTACATCTGGGGTATTTGAATTGGGAGGAGACGGATTTATTTGGATTCTTTGGTGCTGCTGGCTTCTGTCCATATGTCTTCGTTCTGTCTGCCACTCTCAATTGCTGCAATTTTCAGCACCCAGCTGTCGTCAATGATCATGTATGATATCACAAATTTCAAGCATTTCTTTCACCCTTTGCATCTATCTACTTCTGTAGCTGAGTAGTCTCGCCGACCCATCTATTAGTTGCCTATTGAGCAGTACATTCTGAAACTAAAATGACAGACCATTATCAACTGCTCTTCTGCGCCAATACAACTAGTTAATTACCCATGCATCAGATTGAGTAGGCTTATACTTCTCTCCTGGTCACGTACCTCTGTTATATATCCTTACCGCATTATTTTCGCGGTGAGCCACAATCTACAGGTCCTTGAGCTGTGCATCTCTAGAGAGGCGTTCTGAACCCGTCGCTCACTGTGCTTACGCTGTAGCCGAGTCCTAAAAAGGCACCGATATTCCTATCGACAGGGATCTGACTGGCGTTAGTTGACACTCAGACCGGCCAACGGACGCTACGTCCTTAGATCAACATCCCATTCGGTTTGAGCCTCTTGTGGAGGCGAATACCTCTAATCTGTATCGCTGTGGCTTGTTGATCCAGTGTCAAACGGCCGGTTAGCGTCTTCTGCCTGTCCACGGGAAATAATGACCTGTTACTGACTCGATTAATTCTTCCTGCAATAAAATGATATTCCCAGAGGAGGAGGCTTATAGCCCCGCATTCGCTGACATTATAAGGATCCGGTCTTCAGGATATTCCTGATCACTGCATATGCTCTCTGTTGCGCCGAGAAATCAGCTTCATTCCTCACACCTTTCGCTCAGCGTATATTGCCGCTACTAACGATGGTCCTCAAGGAAGCCCATCAACTTCACCCGTACGGCTGGGAGACCGGCCCGGAAGAAGAACGGTTCAAGGTTTCGACCCTCGAGTACCTAACCGCCTCCTGCTTCACACACTTTGCCATATACTTCCGTCTAGAGGACGCGGATAAGCCTAGAGCGGCCGCTGTACTCAAGGAAGGTCTTGAGCGTACTCTCGCCCAGATCGGCCATCTTTGCGGCACCATTGAAAAGGATCCGGAGGGAGGCCACTCTTTCGTCAAGAAGCGAGACAGCACGACGCAGTTTATCGTGCAGTGGCTCGATGCGCCCGAGGATGCAGACCAATTCCCCTCGATGGCCGATATTGAACAGTCGAGCTTTGCTGGCCTCACGCTCGGTGACTTCAAATACTGGGGGCTCGAAGCGATGACATACGGCGAGCGCCCGGAAGCGCACCCGGACGCCTCTCCTGTCGTCTCGGCCTTTCTGGCCAACTTCGTCCGCGGCGGCCTCGTCTTCATCACCCACATGCACCATTACGCCAACGATGTGATGGGCTGGACGGGGTTCATCCATCAGCTGGCGGAAAACTGCTACGCCATAACCCACGAGACGCCGTTTCCACCCTGGGATCCGGCCTGCAACGACCTCTCCATCGTCTCCAAGCCCGATCCTCCGCCGGAGCAGCAGGTCGACGGTCCCCCGGAGCCACAACTCCATCCAGAGCAGAAACCAGGCCAGTGTCTCCTCTTCCACCTCCCAAAAAGCAAAGCCGAGGAGCTCAAAAAGCTCGCAACACCCCAAGACGGCACCTGGATCTCGACCTACGACGCCTTCACCGCGTTTATCTGGCGCACCACGACTCGGCTCCGCCAGCCCGTCTTCCAGAAGCCGCTCGACAGCCCCATCTTCTGGTGCGAAGCCGTCGACATGCGTCGCCGGATGAAGAACCCCCCCGTCCACCCGCGCATTCAGCACAACGTCCTCTCCGCGCCCCTGCCCGACCAAGTGCCCTTCCTGCCACTCACACACGGCGATGTCATCTCGGACAAGCCGCTGTGGGAGCTGGCGGCGCACATTCGCCGGCTGACCAGCACTCAAACACAGGAGAATCTCGACGCGGTGCTGACGGCCGTCTCGTTCGTGCGGGACAAGGCGGCCCTCAACCTACGCATCAATTCGAAACCGCCCATGTCGATTCTGACGACGGACCACCGGGCGGCTGCTGTGACCGATGCGGACTTTGGCTTTGCGCGGCCGCTTTGCCACCGTCATTTGCAGCGCGGTGTGGGTGTCACGGTTGGTGTGCACCTGGTGTATCCGCCCAAATTTGACGACAGTCCGGACTCTGACGAGGGGAATATGTTTGCGCTTATGTATGAGAAGGAGCTGGCGCGGGATTTGATTGAAGATGAGGAGTTTGCCAGATATTTTGAGTTCAGGGGTGTTGATAGCGAGTAGAGCTGTCTTACCTTTTCTCTCGAAGTAACGCTGGAATCAGAAGCAGGGTAATTTGTATACATCCCACCTTGGTGGATTGTATTCGTTAAGATAGGTCATCAGAAACGCGGATTCCAGTGCGCCTCAAACTGGACGGCTCATGCCTTGCTGAATAGACTGGTTCCACGGGCCGGAAGATGTTGCTCTCTGTTATCCCCTTAGGCTTGACAAGAGTCACTCAAACCGTACCTAGCTCTTCTAAACAGATTCTGCACCTCTTGCGTCTTGAACTGTCTTTATTTGGTCGACTCCCATTAGACCGGAATGCATGCAAACACTGTTTTTAGGCTATAATGATCGTGACATCCCACTTCACTACCTCATACATCTCCATATCCGCACGACAACATATGCAAACAATATCAACCCTGCAAGCTCAGTCGCCGACTCACACCTATAGCGCAGCCTTGGCCAGATTACCCAGGAACGTCGAATCCTTAAACGGCACCGTCGCCTTCCCAAAATCCGCAGACTCCAGACCCTCCCTCGCAGCCCCCGGAAGCGAGTCCCAAGCGATCAGCGCCAGATCCCGCCCAAGGGTATCCGTAAACTGCAGTTCATGGTTGGTAGGGAAGTTGGTGAAGTACTCCACCTTGGGCCTGTCGCCCTGACGCTGCGGGCTCGCGGTCTTCTTGTAGCTGCCGTGGCCGGACGCCGCGCCGCCAAGCAGCGCCGGGTTGGCCACGGCCGGGTTGTTCACCCAGATCACGACGTTCTCCCAGTCGTGCCGGTGCGCGCCGGCGGACACGCCGCTGTTCGGCATGTCCTTGGGCATGTACCAGGCGTACATGATGCCAAAGCGCCCGTTGTGCCAGCCTCCGCGGACGTAGGTCTGTCCTTTGCCTGTGTCGCGGCAGCCGCCGGTGGAGCTGCCGGTGTCTTGGAGGCCGCCGCTAAGGGGTGGGGTGTGAGTGGTGAGATGGTTCGCTGGATTTGGGGCCTGTGGAGGGGATACGTACCTGACGTCGCCGTTGGCGGCAACGGCAGGGTAGGACTGGCAGCCATGTGCGATGTGTAGGTATGGCTCAAACCGCTTGAAGGTGGTTCCGATGGCGCCGGCGGGAACAGTCTCTGGGAAGGGGGTGATGGAGTCGTGGTTCACGACCTTGCGCTTTTCCAGTGGGGTGGCTTGCACTGCGAGGGCTGCTGCCACGATTGCGTGAAAGCTTTTGGGAAGCATTTTGGAAGTGCTCAAGATTGACGTGCTGGAAGACTAGTATTGGAGGTAATCGATTGATTGTGTTGATGACGGTCTCGGGCCGGGGAATCGGGACCTTATAAGCTTTTCTGTAAGAACCTCTTCACCGTCGACGGAGTCCTGCGCCTGCGTCTCGTATGCCATAGCTTCTATGGAATGCCAATGGGAGCCGACAAGTCAAACATGCATTCTCGTAGCGCATCCTTCACGGAAGCTGGGGCTATATCCATCCGTGAAGAAAGCCGATTGCCTTGGACAAGGATCTTTGAAATGGCTGTGCAAAACAGGTCCAATCATGGAGTCTGTCGTAACACGCACTTGGCTCGATCATGAATGCCAAGCATGGCAGGTCTTAGGGATGCCTTCAAGCTGTCTCCGGAAGCAGCGGTAGTGAGTGAAACAAATCAAAAGTCAAATAGATATGTGGCAGTCCTAGGGTCTTGGCCATGGTCACCGCCAGCTATTCATTAAGCATCGGGCGCCAAAGAAGCCACATATGATGCCTGGGTCTGATTGATGGTCGGGGATAAATCGGCGAAATGGCCAAAGGTCACCACTGGTGATCTGATTGTCCCAGCATGGTCCCTTCCTTCGTTATTTTGGATCCGATGTCTCAGTGATCTCGAGATCTAGACTATGGCATCTTTACAATGCAAATGACTAGATGAGGTATTAACTGCTGTAACCTCATTCATATTCGGGAGAACAGTGCCCGAATCAGTGTGCAACAGTCAACATGGATGGAAAGAATATGTCTTGGAACAGTCATAGTCTGCTACAACAGAGTGTATCCTCGACTCAAAACTTGCAAGACCATCCTGAGGACACTCAAGTAAAGCTGCTGGTTTTGTGCTCTCTCTAGTATATCCTTTCAGCCCAGCCAGTGTTTAAACCCCACATGATTGCCATGACGGGAATTGACCATTACGACCAGTCCTTTGATACGCTCCATGAGAGCACTATGTGGGAATCAGAAAATCCAATCAAGATATACAGACTCTAGTGCCTTGGACTGTTATCTCTTGTACGAACTAAGGTAGAACTAGACTCCAGCGAGGCCTTGATTCGGCCAAGGGATAGGAACGCCGACGCTTAGCAGGCTTGATTGGGAAGTCGATAATGTCACGGATACTAGCAAGTAGGTTCTCTGAGACTGGTGCCCTTGGGGCTACATTCTTCTTTAGAAGGAGTGAAGGCGACTCTAAATCTACTCGCTGATATATGCGCTTTTAGCAGCAATAGCGGCCGCCAGCGCAGCTAAGGAGACGCTCTGCATAATATCAAAGATGGACACCTCGGCCGCCGCTTGCTGAACGAGCATATTCCGGAGCTCAACTGCAACAAGAGAGTCGATCCCATACTGTGCCGGCTTGTGGGCCAAGTCGATATCGTCGAGAGGGATCATGAAGATGTCTGAGATCTTCTCCGCAATAGCTGTACCAACGTGGTCGACAGCTTGCTCCGGTGACTCGGCCGCGGCGAGCTTGCTGGCGAGCGAGTTGGAACTCCCTGTCGGGTTCGTGCCCCCACTGTCGGCCTCACGGGGCTTCAAGGCAGCAAATCGCATATCGCGTCCGAGCTGGGACTCGCCCTTGGCGTCCCAATGGGCACCTGGGCGAGAGTCGAGCCCGACCACAACCTGCGGATCGTACGGATGGAGGATGGTGGTACCGAGTATCGAGAGGACCTGCTCCTCGTTGATGGGCGCGTAACCCACTCTCTGCAAGTGACCCAACACACCCGTATTGGCAGCGACGCCGATGCCCTTGACGGCTCCAAGGTTGATGGAGACGCCAGGCAGACCTTGCGACACTCGCCAGCGAGCCAGTGCATCTTGGTAGGAACCCCCCGCAGCGTAGTTGGCCTGGCTGGCATTACCGGCGACAGCAACGGCCGAAGAGAGCATCACGAAGAAGCCCAGAGAGTCTGGCTGCGCGAACTGCGTGTGTAGGTTCCATGTGCCATGGACTTTGGGGTGGATGGCGGTTTGGTAATCGGCAAGCGTCATTCGCTCCAGGAGGGTGTCCTAGGCAGTTATCAGTAACGACAGACGTGTGTCTTCAACAATCTGTGCGACTTACCTTTAGAACCATGGCTCCTTGTATGACACCACGAATGGGTGGTAGGCCGTTTTCTTGACATTGGCGCAGAGAATCTGCAAGGCCACTTTCGCTTGAGACATCACAGCTCACAGCCTTGACCCGGCAGCCCACCTGGCTGAGTTCGTCGACGAGCGCAGCAGCTTGCTCACTCCGGCCCGCACTCCTTGATAAGATGATGACATTCCTGGCCCCCTGATCAGCCATCCAACGCGCAATAGAGCACCCAATACCGCCCACACCACCAACCAGGAGGTAGGACGCATCCGGCGAGAACTTCGGAGTCAGCGATCGTTGCAGCATCGGGACCGTCACGTCCGATCCAATAGACAACACAGCTTTACCGATGTGGTTCTCTGTCTGCAGATAACGGAACGCCTCTGCAACGTCCCTGATGGAGTAGGATGTGAGGGGATGGACCGGCGAAAGCTGGTGCTCTCCAACGAGCTTGGTGGTTTCGGCCAGGGCGCGATGCAACTGACGCGGATTGTGTTGGGCCAGAGCAAGCAGCGAAAACGCCGAGAAGGACGTAGGGTGATTGGAGGGCCGCATCGCCAGATGGCTATTGGCCTCGAGGTCGCGTTGGCCGATGTCGACCAGATGGCCAAACGGCGAGAGAGCATTGAAACTCTCTTGGAGAAGCGATCCAGATAGGGAGTTGAGGACAACGTCGATGCCGCGGCCATGGGTAGCGCCAAGCACGCCTGCCACAAACGACGTGTCTCGACTGCTGAAGAGGTGATCTTCCGGGATACCATACCTGTGTATCATCAACTCGCGTTTCTCAGGCGTCCCAACAGTAACAAAGACCTCCGCGCCTACATGACGCGCTATCATGAGAGCCGCCTGTCCCACACTTCCTGCAGCCGCATGGATGAGCACCGTCTGGTCGCGCTGCAGATGCGCAAGGCCTGTAAGGCAGATATACGCGGTGCAGTAAGCGACAGGGAGCGAAGCAGCCTCCTCGAAGCTGAGGCTCGGAGGCATATGCACGATACTTGTCCAGGGCGTGCGCGCGATGCTGCCAAACTGTCCGCGCGGCAGCAGACCAAAGACGTTATCACCGATGGCATAGCCTTGCGCAGCGGCTTCAGCGCCCACACGGCTGATGATGCCAGCGCACTCGAGCCCCATGAACTCGCCACGTAGCTGGCCGGTGGCGACCATGACATCGCGGGCGTTGATGCCGTAGGCACGAGGCTCGATCTCGACCATGTCAGGAGACAGCTCGCGGGTATCGGAAAGGGACGCATCTTCCGTAAAGGAGAGAGTGTCAAGTCGGCCGGGAACACCAACGTGCAAGCTCAACTCTCGGTCTGCTTGGCGTAGCGGCGCCAGGGTGATGGCGTCTGTGGCCGCAGCATCGGCGGGTGAGACAAGGCGATTACGGGACGTATCGTCGAGGACACGGGGTATCTTAAACACGCCGTCTCGAATGGCGTACTCGAACTCGCCCGGCGAGGAACTGTCGAAGCTCACTTTCAACACTTGCACAATCGCTTGAACATCATCCTCCGACCAGGGAGATGCAGAGGGGTCGAGATCCAGTGATACATACGACCGACCAAGATACTCGCTCCTTGCGGTGCGCAGGAATCCTGCCGCAAGACCGAGGTCTGGCTTTTCACAGTCGACGGAGCCGCCACGCGTCACCCAAAGCAGGCCTTTGCAGTTGGTGGTCATGGCTTTAATGGCTTCAAAGGCTGTGGCGTCCATGTCCCGGAGAATGGGCTGGTTGATTTCGCCCAGGAAGACGCAGATCTTGCCAGTATATGATGCTGCCGACGTAGACTCGAGAACATATACATCGGGCAGAGGGGCAGGAGCTGTGTCAGGTTCCAAGGTGGAGATGAAATACTGCAGAGACTCAAGCCACTGTAGTGGAGGAACGCCTGTTTTGTCACTAGTGACGAGGATGATATCGTCGGAGCGAGGCAGCCGGGCCAAATCAATCGGCGGCACTGTTGATACAATCGTGCTGGTCTGATGTGCAGTCTCGCCTCTGTAGTCAGATACGGCAACGTCGACGCCACTGAAGCCCGCATCTTTAAGAAGCTGATCCCACGAGCCAACATCCAAGGATGGCTTTGGATCGTTGCTCTTGGCGTCCCACCATTCGGGCAGGAGACCAAGCACAAGCTGTCTATCAAGCTCGTAGTGAGGCGTCTGGACCATCAACAGCTTACCACCCGGCCTCAGGAGGGCCTGCACGTTTGTCAAAGTTTGGGGCACGATCCCAGATGCAATCACAACGTCGTAGCTGCCCAGCTCGAATCCCTGCGAAGATGGCTCGTTGGCAACGTCGAGCGTGTCAAACAGAAGAATATCAGACCACGCGGCTAGCTCCTGTGCGGCATGCTTAAATTCGTCATCCGAGGCGTTGGAAAAGTGATACAAAGAGCCAAGCGGACCTAGTGCTTCTAGCATGGCACGCGTCGTGCCGTCTAGTCGGGCGCCAATCTCGAGGACCCGCGCACGAGGCCGCTTGTGTACGATTTGGCGGAGTAGTGCGGCTCCTTCCGGGATGCCATCATGGTGGTTAGAGGACCACTTCTCGAGTAAGCCACCTTCGTTCATGAGATCTAGGGCCGCCTTCTGGCTACGGAGGATGGCCGCTAAACACGGGCCCACGCGGCACAGCATCTCGCCTCTTGGGCTCGCTTCTGCCACGCGTTGGGTGAGAAGTGCTCGATCCGGCCGTATGGCATCCGGCGTGGCAGACTGTAGTTTATCCTTCATCCACGCGTAGAATTCGCGGTAATGGCCCTGAAGGTTATCCGCTTCGCATGGAGAGATGTCGGCTAGAGCATCTTCCATAAAATAGAGGGAAAGTCTTCGGAGGTTCTCATCTTCACGCGTGTGCGAGGCGGCGTCTGAGTGAAG